AACTAAGAGATATAACAACATTAACCATAAAGTAGAAGTTTAACCTTCTTGACCTTCTCAGGACTCAGGTTGGCCGTAGAAATTATGATGTTGTGCAATCAACCAAGATATTCAAAGCATATCGGCTAAATTAACATCATTTTGCTTGCCATTAGTCTAGTTATCAGAAGCTCTTCATCACCACAAAAGAGCATCTCTCCAATGAAATGTCTTCATAAGTAACTACCTTCCCTCTCCTATGCCTTATGGCTCTGTATTAACAAGTGTATCACTCGGTCTTCTACGCACATGACCAAACCACCGTAGGCAAGACTCCCACATCTTGTCTTCAATATGTGCTACTCCCACCCTTTGTCTGATTGTCTCATTTCGCACATGGTCCTTCCTAGTATGCCCACACATCCAACGCAACATGTGCATCTCATTCACACTCATCTTTTGAATGCGACATTGTTTCACCGTCCAACACTCTACGTCATACAACAATGCATGCCTAATTGTTGTCCTATAAAATTTACCCTTCAGTCTAGTCGGCACTCGGCATACTTCTATCACATAAAAACCCTGACACACTCTTCCACTTCATCCACCATGTTCTGATTCTATGAGATACATCTCCATATAGCTCACCGTCCTTCTGAATTATGGAGCCCTAGTAACGGAACATATCACTGTCCGGTATCTCCTTACCATCTAGAGTAATTCCACTATTACCACTGTTTCTACCTCCACTAAACTTGCACTCCATGTGTTCTGTCTTGCTCCGAAATGTTTTTACTTTTATTTAGGGAAATTTCTTTAATTTTAATGGTAAAACAGAATGATCAATGGTCAACCAGTCTCACTTAGGTTTGAGTGAAGTAAAAGAAAACCAGTCACATTGTAAACCTTGCTTCATTTCTATTTAAATTGAATGCTACATACTACCTCCATTTACATTAGAAAACCACTTTTAGTATATTTAATTATTTATTAGTAAAAAATTAAAAATTGCATTCAGATTTTGAAAATTTACAATGAGACCAATTTAACCGGATTTTTTTTATAAAATAATTAAAAATTGCATTAGTACTTTAATGAAATTTCTTTCAAACTCCTACACCGTATATGCAGAAGTACTGTTCTGTACTAAAACATCTCAATACATAAGCTTGTAGAAGTTCTAGATTTTCTAGAGGTTTGAGCTGCCAATCACTGGACCATTTTTGTTTTGTTCTTGAATTGTTGGTTGGTTTCCCTTAAAATAGATGTAATACTGATGTGTTGGCATTCTGGCGCAACCCACCACCACCAGATTGGCATAAGCCTTATGTGTTTAGATTCAAGGTTTGAGTAGTTTCCAGTAATAAGGTGGGTATTAAGCAGATTGATTTGGGAGAGAGATGTCAGTCACAAGCACTAAGGGTCTGTTTGCAACAGCTTCTGCTTTAAAAAGAGTGCTTTTTTTAATGAAATGAGGAGAAGAGATTAACTAAAAGTTGATAGTGTTTGAGAAAAAAATGATTTTGAAAAGTAAAAGTTGATAGTGTTTGGTAAAATAAGTGCTTTTTGTGTAATAGAAAAAGTAAAAACACTTTTGACACGAAAGCCCGAGAAAAATAAAAGTTGTAGTGTTTGGTAAAAGAAGTGCTTTTTTAAAGCCAAAAGGTGAGAAATGTTTTTTTTTAAGTGGTTGCAAACCAGCCCTAAATCAAACTATATCATAAAAAAATGATTAGAAAATAACTAAAAAGCTATTAACAAGTTATTACTCCATATACTATAAAAAATCAACATACTTGGAAAGGGGAGCACCCAACTATATACTTCCTCCTCCGTTCTTTTCTAGTTGCAACGGTCAACATTTCACACTTGCCAACGCACACGTCTTTGACCATAATTATATCTTAATCTTTATTAGTAAAAAAATTAAAAAACAGATTTTGTAACTTTGTAATGAGATGAATTGAATAATATTTTAAAAAATAAAAATTTTCATAAAATAATAGCGTAAAATGTTGTCAAAGTAGAACATGTGAATAGTGTAAAATTCAACATGTTGCGATTAAAAAAATGGAGGACAATACATACTATTCACCGTAAAAAAATCTACAAAGGATGTTTTTACTTGGACTATAATTTACTGGTCTGATCTGGTTTGTTTAAGTCTGTTCTGGTCTGGTTCATTTAGTTCTGGTCTAGTCTGGTATGCGTCTGGTTTCTATGTATTTTATAACTACGAAAATCAAGTCTGTTTAAGTCTGGTCTTTTCTAGTTTAGGACTGAAAACATTCCGACTAAAAACATCCTTAAGTATGTAAACATAAATCAAAATTAAAGGAGACGTTATAAACATGGTACAATTCATTATCCTCTTTTGTTAAGACATTCCATCTTAAAAGGTCAACATGATAGGAGGAGTAGCCCAAGGCCTTATATAGTGTTTAATTGTTTTATACTAGTAGCTTTCGGTGTTCGACAAATGCTCCAACATCTTTGTTAACAAAAATATAGGAAGCAGTTTACATACTTAGCGAGTGTTTGCAACTGCTTCTGCTTAAAAAAAGCACTTTTGGAGATGTAAGGAAAAAGTGATTAGTAGGAAAAGTTGATAGTGTTTGAGAAATAAATGATTTTGAAAAGTAAAAGTTGATAGTGTTTGGTAAAATACGTGCTTTTTGTGTAATAGAAAGGCGAAAAGCACTTTTCACACGCAAGCCGAGAAAATGTAAAAATCGGTGGTGTTTGGTAGGTAAATAAGTGCTTTTTTAAGCCAAAAGCTGAGAAGTGCTTTTTTTTTTAAGTGATTGCAAACACTCCCTTATATATATACACCAAGTATATACAACTAATACAAGGATGGTCCACCTTAGACTCCACAAAAACGTGTAAGTGTAAAATGGTGAAAAAGAGAAAAACTTTTCAAAAATCTACCAAAACCCTCTTCTCATAAACGATTAAACTCATTAAAGATGTCCACTACATACCCATCCCCAGCCTTCACTCTTGGAAGGTAATTCCCTGCCATGCATTAATCCAACATATAGCGTGTAGCAGGTGTAAAAGATGTCCATCTTACCTACAGGTATTAATTAATCCCCACCAACACTACTCCGTATTAATTTGATTCCTTCAATAATCCCCCACCTTCCCTTTCATTAAGCGGCCTACGGCAACCCCTCCCATCATCCAGCGACCAGCAAGCTAAGCCCCACTCTTGAAGCCCATCTTGTTCACAGTATCGGGCGATTATGCATACTTCATGACCGAAAACTACAATCAAGTGCTAGCCACAACACACACGAACTAAAAGCATTTGAGGTAATAATACTTTATAATATTACCTTCGTTCTTAAATAAGTGCAACATTGCAAATTTTAGACTATTCGCATGTTCTATTTTGACTACATTTTATTTATTGATGTATTAATATATATTTTTGAAAAAAATATTACTAAATTTGTCTCATTGTAAATTTTCAAAATATGATTTTTTTTAATTTTTTTACCAATAGAGAGTTATATATATATTAATGATCAAATTTGTGTCTCAGCAAATGTGAATTGTTGACTGTTGCACTTATTTAAGAACCAACTTTATATATAGAGTTGGAACACATTTCCTATTAATGTCATATGCATTTTGCCCTAATGAAAACATTTGCACTTATATTGACATCTGTTATTTTCTTATGCACAAAACGTTATGGGGAAATTTAAATCAATTTAAAATTATACGTAGTGTGTACTCCATTATTTTATAGGGATAAACAACTTATTGAGGGATATAAAATTTGTAGATAATTTGTGGGGGAAAAACATGCCCTACATAATCTTACTACCTCCGTCCCAAAATCAACCTCTCAGTTTGATTTTACACAGATTAAGAAAATAAATTTAATTTTATTGTGGAGTGCACTGTTTTGCACTGTTTAAACACTGTTTGACACTGTTTGAACACTGTTTGACACTTTTTTTATGTAGATTATTTGCCTAATAAGAAAAATTTTGAAGTATGAAATTAATTTCAGGATTACCCAAAAAGGAAAGTCAGAAATTAATTTTGGAATATATTTTATATACTCTATACAAAAGGAGGTGGAATCCAAGCCAATTTTCCCGCCCAAACAACCATATCAACTATGGGTCCGGTCGGGTTACACAAAAGAGCTCACCTTTATTGCACTGTACTGGCAGATTAGACAAGATTGTTCCTTTTTCAATTAGGTTGCGTGTTACAATTGTGGAATCTTATTGTTGAATTGTGAACTACCAATTGTTTAAGAAGTTGACTTTATCGATTGACTCGAAAATTTGAAATACCCCTTCCGTCCCGAATGGCAAACTTTAGCTGACATACAAATTATTCAACGAAAATAAATGATGCTCGTTAAACTTTTATCCTTCATCTTAAAAACTACATGCTTTTAAGTTGATTGAGAAAATGTAAAAGTAAAATACATTTTTCACTTTACTCTTATTTATAAAACTAAAATAGAATGTGGAAAATCATTTTGATACAATCAAAATAGGAAATTTTACAAAATCCTACTTCCGGTTTTTTTTAATCTTCACAGTTTGACTTCACACAAAATAAGGAAAGAAAATTAACTTTACTGTAGAGTACTCTGTTGAGGCACTGTTTGGCACTGTAGAGACACTGTTTGGCACTGTTGAGAGACTGTTTTGGCACTGTTTGACACTGTTTTGATGCAGATTTCTTTGCCAAAAAGGGAAATAAGGAAGTGTGAAGTTTATTTTAGACCGTCCCAAAAAAAAAGTGTGAAGTTTATTAAAAATCGGAGAGAGTAAATGGAAGTGAGGGAGTAGTTAGTACGAAGCACGCAGTACTCGGTATTAATGTGTAGTGCGTTGTCCTTTCAAATTTATTTATGCGTACTTTAAGTTAAAATAAAACATGCTGTGAACCGTTGGGTTCATTACTCTCGAACCAGCGGAGCATCATAGAAGTTGTAGTATAAATATGTTACTCCACAATTTTTCAGTTTAATACCACACTCCATCCTTTCATCCTTCAATACCACAAGTTTTCGTTGAGTGAATTTTTTTTTACCTATTCGGTGGGATAAAGCAGCGTGTCTCCGCTTCGATTGGTCGCCGGTTAAAGTTTTCTGGGTGATGATGGAGAATCGAGTGGTGTGAAGTTTGATTAGGAAGACAGCTTTACCTTCTTCAAAGACACTTTTTTACAAATTTCCACAGCATCCTTCGATGCCTATTACTCTTTTTCATGGTAAACACCCAAATGTCACGGACCGTTGGTCGTGACCGTGTAAGGCTCAATGAATGGGACGGACCGACTGGCTAGTATGTCGGGTGAGGCATGTGGGAGGCAATAGCGTCAAGGAGGGTTCTGCCTTAGACGCTGAGGTCTGGCCGAGTTGGGCATGTGGGGCTTGACTATGAAGGAGACGGAGGCGTGTCTGAAGGCACAACTGGTCGGGAGCTATTGTCGTTCCCCTGATGAGCCCAAGGCAGGGCGAAACCAGTCTGGTCCCGTATGAGAGTAAGGCTGGTCCGCGGGGTGAGGGACCCCGGGACGCCGCACGGGCGCTGTGGGCTGCGCTAGACTCTATGCCCGTGACAAGTGGTATCAGAGCGGGTCATGCTTATATTGTCGCGTGTTATGGTGGGGTCCTCGTGAGGGATGAGGACTATGCGAGCATGGTGGCTTTAGGGCCGGTACGTGCTGATGACGGCTCCACTCCTGATGGTCCGCAGGGGCGGATGGGTTCCTGAGGGAATGGGAACTCGAGTGGCCACCAGCTCGGCCGGGCTGCTTGAGAGAGAAGCGGCCTGGTGATGAGGTGCGTTGACAATATTAAGCATGGCGATCCTTGGGCAGGGTCGTCTCCCCTAGCACGAGGACGTGCTAGATTTTGGGTGGGGGAGAATGTCACGGACCGTTGGTCGTGACCGTGTAAGGCTCAATGAATGGGACGGACCGACTGGCTAGCATGTCGGGTGAGGCATGTGGGAGGCAATAGCGTCAAGGAGGGTTCTGCCTTAGACGCTAAGGTCTGGCCGAGTTGGGCATGTGGGGCTTCACTATGAAGGAGACGGAGGCGTGTCTGAAGGCACAACTGGTCGGGAGCTATTGCCGTTCCCCTGATGAGCAGAAGGCAGGGCGAAACCAGTCTGGTCCCGTATGAGAGTAAGGCTGGTCCGCGGGGTGAGGGACCCCGGGACGCCGCACGGGCGCTGTGGGCTGCGCTAGACTCTATGCCCGTGACACAAAGCTAGCTTTGAAGAAAATCAAGAAAAATCCGGTCTTCACCTCAGCAGTCTCTTATAATCAACCGATTAATGTTCATTTCTGGTCAATTCATGCTCCGGATTTTGTGCAAGTTAGTTTTAACATAATTTATATTTAAATATTTAGCTTTGAATCGAGTTGAATAAAAATTTGGCTTGTTTCGTGTAGGGGTGAGCAGACCCGGATCAAAATCAAATGGGCTGTACTCAATCTGTAATTGTTAAAAGGGAAAAGGGCCAAAAATGACACCAAAGTTTTTAATGAATCTCAAATAAGACATTCAGGTTTTTGGAGGACCAAATAAACACAAAATCTAACTTTTACACTAATTTTAAACCACCCATTGACTTTCCCCTTCTAACGCCCGTTACTCTTTTATAAACTCCTTTTCCTGCGCTGCGATTAACCATACCACCCCCAATTTATACATTCAACAACCCTAATTGGCCGCTAGGATCTTGAAATCCCCTTCCATTCCTCTAGCCATCAGACTCCTCTCGACCTCTCCCCTAACCGCGCACCATTATCATCCCGACCTTTATGCACGGCGGCTGAGACCCGGACCCAGAAACTTGAGTGCATCGCCTACGAGCTTCTGGACCTCACCCGCAGTGTACTGCTCGGCCTAATCCAGCTCTGCTGAGCCTGCGGCGGCTGAAACCAAGGCTGCAGAGAGACCATGTTCAATCTAAATTAAAGTTGGAGATGTTCCGCGCACATAACGACTAAGATCAAGGTCATTAAGGAGATAAGAGCTTTTACAAGTTTGGGTTTAAAGGAAGCAAAGGAGCTGGTCGAGAAAGCTCCGGTTGTGGTGTAAAATGGGCTCAGTAAACAAGAAGGTACTACCATTATCTACAAGCTACTGCCGTACCGGAATAACTCACCAATTGTATTCTTTTTTCTCTTTATTGTAGAAAAACTTTTACAGCTGCCGGAAAAATGAAATTTTTAATGTTTGCTTAGATGGGATTATTGATATCCCATCCCACAATTTGATTGGTGTATTCACACACCATGAATTGCATTATCATTTAGCTGGTCTAAATTGTTGTTTGGTTCATATTTTTTTGGAGTTGGAAGTACTACTTCGATTTGCAGCGCCCTGGCTTGGCCTAGCCGGCCTGCACATGCCAAGTATATAAAAGTGGACATGATTGATGATGGATGGCCGGATAAATGAGCGACATGCATGGTGAATATACAAACCGGGCAGCTAATTAAGGAACTAAGTAACTAGCTAACTACTGATGGGTGATGGGTGATGACGACCCTGAGATCATCCTTCAAACAACCGAGGGGTTGTTTGGTTCATTTACTAGGCAACGGTGTTAGAGCAGACTGTTAGTGGGTGGTTAAAAATGAAGGTAAAAGTATAAAATTGGGTTTATTTGGTCCACTTAAAACCTAAGTGTCCTATCCGAGATTCATTAAAAACCTTAATGTTCTTTTTGGCCCTTATCCCTTGTTAAAATTATTGTTCTCATTGGAATGGTCCATCTTTCCCGTCATTCAATCTGTCTCCCAGATCTTAGTTTTCAGGTATTTCTTGATTAGATCTAATTCTTTCTAAGTTGAATGCTATTGCGGAGCATATTATAAAGTTGACTCTATATCTCCTGCCTTTTTTTTAATTTATTACATGATACTTTCACAATATTTTTTCACCATGTGTTTCGAGTAGAATCCAAAGAATGATTTTTTTCCTACAAAGACCCACGTATATCAATCAATCTGACATATGCCTAACTGAAAAATAAGGGTGTTTTTCTCCCATGTATGGTTTATGCTACCATACTCTTAAATCTCTTTTTGTGTGTATTTTATACTAGAATTTTTCATTATTAAAGCAATATACACTAATTGTTTGATTGCCTTTAACGTATAAAGACATGTACTACCTCCGTCCCAAAATTAACTTTCCGTTCGGTTTACGATGTTTTACTCACGATAAAACAACTCGATCCTTATTCACATTTGAATTATTTTTAGTAAATAAAATTTATATATTCAAAAACTACATTAAAACCGCTCCAAAGCTTGATCAAGAAAATTTAATCTTGATAACAATTTGATATAAAATGTAAAAGATTAGGAGTATATGATTGCTTATTAAATGGTGCGTATTTCAATATTAAGATACACCATACATTTATAAAGCTCTTGAACACGGCATAATTATATGATTATTACTTTCAAAATAATTTTTATGCCTTAATCTTGATCTTCGAACATGAATAAGTTATATGGAGTATATCATTTCCTGTTAAAAAATCATTTCCTATTAAAAACAGGGACTCATTGTGTGATAAAGAGTTTTCACACTAAAGCTTGGCAAATAACGTTTATGTCGTTTTCGAATGATACATTCTAGAGATAACGGTCAGATAGAACTTCGAACTTACAAAAAAATGTCAAATAAGGTCATATAATTAAAAAGTGACATTCTAGTTAAGTGAATAAAATGAAATTGTTTGACTAAGAAAAGTTAATTTTGCAAATCAATTTGGGATGAATGTAGTATTTTACATAATTAATAAATTTCAGATAAATTATAGTAGTACAAATATAAATAATTAAACCATACATCGGTCCGATTCCAGGCTTCCTATGAATTAGCGAAGACGGTGAAAGTGTGAAGACCGTAGTCAAAGTAAGGGTATAAATGTAAATTTAAATCATTGAATCATACTTCGGTCCGGTTCGGTCCGGTGCTGGTTCTCATTTTATGAGAACCAGTCATGGCATTGTTTAGAATTAGTACGGTTCGGTTCGGGACAAAAAAATTGAGATCCGTTTCAAACCCCATTTTTCGGTCCGGTACCATATCGGTTCGGTACCATGCCGGTTCGGTATTTTTGCCCGCCCCTAAAAATTAGTCCACACAAAGTATTGACTGTGTCAGTAGAAGAGATAGTAGCCTGTAATGTTTTTATAGTACTCCCCGAATTGAATTGCAAAATTTGACAGCCACACAAAGTATTAAGGAATAATAATAAATGATGCTTGTTTTTTATGCTTTTGTCTAACATCTTAAAAGTAGATATCTTTAAGTTGATAGGAAAAAAGTATGGGTAAAATTTTCACTTCATTCTTACTTACATACCACACATTTTTCTAAATAGCATGATGCAAGATCATTATAATTGAGGGCTAGGACATGCATGATCTAGACACGTTGCTTAACAAATTGAATGTCACTACCCAATGTGTCTGCCATCCGGGGATCGTGCGTCTCGTGTCACTACTACGGACACCTTCACCATCGTAAGTTTATACTCCGTATTAATTTAAACTAGTGTAACACCCGGGGCATGCCCCGGTAGTATTAATTCAGTATGAGTTCAAGTGAGAAATATCAATAAACATTGTGACTATTTATATAATATGATATCATCAAAAGTTTGTCTATAATCGATTTCTTTTATGAACTAACTATCACCATAGAAGACGGTGAGGAGCCACCATCTTTTGGAGTATGAATTTGTGGTTATATTGTTGTTTATGTGCTAATTGTTGTAATAGTTATGGAGTATTAATTATTTATGAGGCTCGTTATATCATGAGGAATTATTAGAAGAAGTGTTGAATTGGAATTAAGAGTGTGTGGATTTATATTACTTTGGATCATCGCATGTATTATAGGTGTTGTACGTATTAGATTGGTCTCGTTCATGTGAACTAAAGTTTCATTAATTAAAACTTTTGATCGTGCATTAGAGCCAATAGTCACTTCAGTTATAACATCATAAATTTCAGCAAAATCAGCCGATTTCTGTTTTACCAAATGAGCTCTGAATTGATATGGTATTTATTTTGGGAATTCCAATCCATTAACATGATTGATATTAAGAAGTTGTTATATCCACTTGATATAAATATTTATGATCTCAAAGTTTTTAGATCTGGTCTTGTATGATCTGAATTTTTTCTGATGTGGTCTAATTAGATATAATCATGTATGAATTTTTCTGCTTAAGTAAATGTTTACGTAGTAGTGATAATAGATTTTTTTACTAACTAATACGGAGTAAGAAATTGACATGTTATTGATTTATAATCAGTTTTAATTTATAAAAGTAATAATTTTTATTTTATAGGCAATATTGATGTCGTATGAAAGATAAAAAATGTTACGAATTAATTTTGATACTCCCTCCGTCCCGAAAAGTGTCGCCAACTTTGACTTTCGCGCGGATTAATAAAGTAAAAACTGTGTGGTTGAAATTTGTGCAGAGGAGAGAGAATTAACTTTGGACACATATTCCTTACTTTAAATGGAAATGACAATTTTTTTGGGTCATCCAAAAAATGAAATTTGGCAAACCTTTTCGAGTCGGAGGGAATATATTTTTGGTATAAATTGAAGTATATATAGTGCTTTAAAAAAATAATTTTTTATCCTTCACATTCTCCAAATGAGTTGGCGTGATTAAAACGAATAGAAGTGATGCCCGAATAAAAGGCAATGATGCACCGAGTGAACTTAGATTAATTAGATGTTTTAGTACGAATCAAGAGACTGACACATCATTGATTGTTAACTCAATTTCATTATATAAAAAATGGTTTTTATTTTTATATACGTAATATTTGTGTCATATGAAAGATCATAAAAAATTATGAGTTTTGGTGATAAAAAGTTCTAAAAACTGGGTTACAAAAAAAAAATTATAACACTATAAAGATGAGTTTTTTATCTCTCATACCATTTCCCCAAATGAACATTGATGCATGGAGTAAATAGCAACGATGAACCGAGTCACATAAATGAAATATGGAGTAAATGTTTTAGTAGTAGTGATAATAGAATTTTTAACAATCAATACAATTATAATCTATATACAAAAATCACTTACATTTCTCTCTTCTCTGGAACCCTAGTGACCGTCTCACCTCTTTGTAGGGGTTGAGATTTTTCGTCGCACCTATCAATATGGCGTTAGAGCGACATATTATACTATTTTAAGTGTCCTAACGCTTGGGATTTTAAGTGTCCTAACGTTTGGGATTACAACTACGTCGGAGGAGACTACGTTAGCGGATGAATGATGTGCGGCTGGGAGGTTCTATCAAGGCGAGATCGTAAAGCCTCGATCGGAATTCCGATGGTGGTTGAGTCGGTATTCACTCATATTGTAAGAGTTCGTCCTCCTCCGGAACCACCTCGATCAATACCAGGAAGATCTTTGTGGAAAGATTTTATTGCAGTTTTATTTTCCCTTTAGTAGCACTTGTTTCTGTTTTAGTCTGAAAAGATTTGGTTTGAGTGTTTGGATTTTTGGAGTTCTTTTGACATACACGTTTTTTGTTCCGATCGTTTTAGGCCTAAATTTGCTCAATTCAGGTTTAGCGAATCATGTTGCTTTGTATGAGGTGACTGACTCTAAGTCTACTTCTAGGTTCACGCTTCGATCTGTAAATTCTGTCTGAAGATTGTCTTGTATGTGTTCTCGATTTTAATATAATGACCGCTCTTTTATGATAAAAAAAACATCAATAGACTTTTTAACTCAGTTTACTATATTATTCAATAGATAATACGGAGTATTTTTTAAAATTTTATATATGCAATATTGGGTTAATATGAAAGATAATAAAAAATTGTGAATTTTGATATATGTTTTATAAAATTTTAACTATAAATACAAAAGTTATATCACTAACTTAAAAAGAAAGATTTCTTCTCTTTTCCTTGAAGGGAAAAATAATTATAATACCCCAAATTTTGAAGGGGTGTGAGATAAATACCTCAAACTTGATTATGTAATTTAAATACCTCAAACTTTATACAAAATGTTATTTTAGCATCATAGTCAAGTATTTTTTTCTTTCAAAAATGTAAATTTATGGTGTTAATTGTGTGATTTAAAAATATTTTAGCATTCATAAAGGCACAATTAACATTCTAAACTTCCACTGTGGAATAAATAATATTACCCCAAATCTATATAATTTCATCGTTTTTAATTTTCTATTTTAAATTATGCAATTAAAATCATAAATTTACTTTTTTGAAATAAATAATACATGACTATGATGCTAAACTAACTTTTAATATAAAGTTTGGAGTATTTAAATTACGTATGTAAGTTTGGGGTGTTTAGCTCACACCTCTTCAAAGTTTAGGGCATTTTAATTATTTTACCTTTTTGAATTGCTCCAAATGAGCAGTCCACGATTATAGGGAGTAAATAGTTGTGATGAACTGTAAATTAGTTAATTGTTTTAGTAATAATGATAATATATTTTTTTATCTCAACTTTAATTGAGATAATTACATAAAACAATAGATAATATATTTTTTTAGTTATTATGTATACAATATTGGTGTTATATGAAAAATTATAAATTGTTATTTTTATATATTATTTATAAAAAATTGAAGTATAAATACAAAAGTTACATTACTTTAATAAGAAATTAAAGTTATACATTAGATAGATTTAATTACGATGTAAATTTTTGGAAAACAATTCTATATTAGAGTCTTGTTTTTATGGCAAAACAATTATGTAGCATTAGATTTAATCTCCTAGATCTTACTCCTGTTATTAAAATTTAATTGAAATTAGAGTCCTAGTGAGTAGTGGAGTGTCTTTTGCACACGGTTTAAAGGATTGAATTTAATCTAGGATAAGATAAAGAACTTATTTAAAGTATACTCGCACTGAAAAATTTAAAAATATTTAATTTATTAATATGCAATTAATAAGTTGATAAGTTGATGACAGGCTTTTGCTGAAGAATTCAGTTTCAATACTCTCGGTGGAATTGCTTTTAAATGAAATTGAAATATTTAATTTTTCATTAATAAGTTGATAAGTTTGTTCAGAAATTAATAAGTTGATAAGTTGATGATAGGCTTTTGCTGAACAGACTGGCGCAATCATAGCTAGTACGAAGAATTCAGTTTCAACACTTTCGGTGGAATTGTTTTTAAATGAAATTGAATTATTTAATTTTCCTCTAGCCAATGAGAGGTTGACAAATCAGCAATTAAAAACTCAGCTTTACTATTATAACTATAGATTTAAACTATATTTTAATATTGACGTACTACGTATAATACATTAATACGTATGTAATTTTTGTGTGATTTAGCAACCAACTTAAAAGGCAATACTTAATTTTTTTGGGCAAACTCAACACATACTCCGTATGTAATTTAGGAAAAACGATGGGAGGATGTCTCGTGAAAATTGAAATAATTTTCCTAATTTTAACAAACTTCCAGGCTCCAGCTATGTAAACATGCGTACAAGTGTTGTGTTGTCTACTGCCACATAAATGCCCTGCTAGTAATTAATGTTCAAAATTTCTTTTTAGCTAATTAGAGCACCTTCAACGCTACAATGTGCACGTTATAAGTGGCATGTGAGATGGCTATATATATATTATTAAATAAATCATCTTTCTCTTTATTTAAATGATAAACAATTTTGGTAAATTTTTCTTTACAATGTCAAAGAAGCCGTCTAGACATAGACATAGACATAGAAAAACAAATCAAAATTGTATACTCACTCTGTATTCTAAAGTTTGCTACGCTTTCCTTTTTGGGATGTATTTAAAAATTTACTACACTTTTCCTTTTTGATAAATTTTTCCTTTAAAAATACTCAACTTTCCTTGTTTGGTCAATAGCATGCAGTGCCTTTTAATTTGAATAGACAAAACACAATACCCAATAAATTTGTACTTGAGAATCTGTATAAAGTAGATTTGCCTTGTTAAACACACCTTATTTAATTGAGACAGCTCGTATGATGTAATATGTATCATACACTGGACAATAGTGTTTATCAACAATTAAAAATAAATGATTTACAGGACAATAATGGAAATTAATATTCCAAACTTTTAACAGTCTTCTTACAATAGTCCATCTTTTCGTTATTCAAGACTAATCCAACTTTTGCACCTTATCTTCATTCACTGATCCCTGAACGGTAAATGACCTGCTATTTCAAGTTATTTTTTTTTCTTTGCAAAATATTATCCTTGTGAAAGATGAGATTTATGGTATTATGGTTTGCAAAGATAAAAATAGCAGCTCGTCAACCGATCAGGGACCAATGAATGAAGATGAGGTATAAAGGTTGGATTATTCATGAATAACGAAAAGTTGAACTATTGTAAGAAGACCGCTAAAAAGTTGGATTATTAGTTTTCATTTACCCTTTATTATTTGATAAAAGAATTGAAAAGCTGGACAGCTACTTAAGTTACCCCAGAAGTGTGGATCCGGAGCTTCTACCTTACTTTAAAGTAAAGTAGGGTGCCTTGCTTCTTCCGGATCGTCCGATCAACAATTCAACGGTCGGAGATCTTGGGCTCCACTTTTTAGCTAATCTCGAGGCCAGCTTTGCTACTGCCCGACCGTCCGATGCGCAAGGCACCGTCCTAGTCGGGCAGAGGATCCCAATCCCAGAAGTGTACTTGATCTGCAATTCATTAAATGCATTTGTACCTTCAAGAGTTCAAGATCAATTGTGACATCTTCTCAGCCTTATTTAACTTTGCATTTAATTCTTGGAAAAGTTTTGAGACAAATATTAAATGCTTTGCTTGACATTGGCTGTCTGCCCGTTTTTTGACCCGGTTTACCCAATGGATTAGGCGGGAAGATGGCATGCTGTTCCACGGCGCTTTGTATATAGAGGAAGAGGGATACTGTGAAGTTATAGGTACTTTGTCTTGGATTACGAGCTTTATACTACTACTGTATTTAATACTCCCTCGGTTCTTTAATAAAAGTCCTTCTTTCCTTTTTGGGACGTTTTTTTTATCTGTCCTCCTTTCCATTTAAGAAAAGTTTTTACTTTAAATATACCTTTATACCCCCACTTTTGGGACTAAGGCTTGGATGTTGTTGTTGTTGTTGTATACCCCCACTTTTATTACCATTACCCTTTTCTCTTTCCTACTTTTTCATTTACCCACTACTCACTACACGTTTTACACTACCCCTACTATTTTCCTCTTAAAACCCGTGCCAAAGCCTAAGAGGATTTATATTAAAGAACGAAGGAAGTACTCCGTACTTAATAGTGGTGGTTACCAATGTGTTTACTGAGTTGTCATTTCATCTCTGCCGCCACTGGGTTTAGATATTTCTGCATGCTATTATCCGATGGTTATTTTAGTGTGCCAGATCACAATTTTACACTACCCCTACTATTTTCCTCTTAAAACCCGTGCCAAAGCCTAAGAGGATTTATATTAAAGAACGAAGGAAGTACTCCGTACTTAATAGTGGTGGTTACCAATTTTTTTTACTGAGTTATCATTTCATCTCTGCCGCCACTGGGTTTAGATATTTCTGCATGCTATTATCCGATGGTTATTTTAGTGTGCCAGATCACAATGCAAATTAATTCGAGTATAAAAACATGCTCATTTATCAATCAGATGGGCATAGATGGTTCAGCACATCCAATGGGAGAGAGACTAGAGTTCATCTTTTACGACCAAGAGGTATACTTCCTTCTTTTTTATTTTAGTTGCAACGGTCAACATTTAACACTTGTCAACGCACGTCTTTGACCGTAGTTATATCTTAATCTCTATTAGTAAAAAATAATTAAAAATCCGATTTTGAAAATTTGTAATGAGATGAATTGAAAAATATCATGTTAAAAAAATAAATTTCGCAAAATAATATCGTAAAATGTAGTCAAAGTAGAACACGTGAATAGTGTAAAATTCAACATGTTGCGATAAAAAAATGGAGGATAGTATTATATATTTTAATATGCAGGAGCTTTTTCCTTGATATACACTACTAATAGTATACCGTATACATGATCAACAAAACTTGAAAAAAGAATTTAATTGCTCTCATTTTCATGTTGAGTCGTATTTCTCAAAGGTCATTAATTCAGTTGCTCCATCAAAGGTCATCAATTCAGTTGCTCCATCAAAGAAAACGATTTCTTTTAAGAAAAGGTACATTCCTTCACAAGCAATTCATCTAACTATTTTGGGATGATATTTCAGGAAGGAGCCTATTGATTGCTTTATGGAAGTATGCTTTCTAAGATGGAAAACGGTGTTGTATAATTTTTTGTGAGAACATGATTAATCAATTTAAAAATGAAACCTATATCATTCGGACTTCCTTCAAATCATGAGTGTAAAACTTTTTCGGAAAATAATGCAAATAGAGTTTCATGGATTCTTACTCTTAGTACGTAGTAGTTTATATCTACTTTTAGGATACACAAAAACTAACGTATCACAACCTAGGATGATTTTCAAACATTTAACTTTCAGAATTTATAGTAGAAACAATCGGTATTTAATGGTATTTCAATGAGAATGGTAAGACTTTAAAACTTAGGGGACGTGGAGTGCCATATCACAAACACAACATTCATCACATTTTTTAAAGGTGACAACTCCGTTATCTATTTAAAAAATTAGATACCGTACCTATCATTCACTTGATAAGACCACATCATTATATCATTTTTATTTAGATTTAAATAATACAACTGAAACATCCTTATTGTTCTATATAGACAAAGGTATGATTATGATATCTTATGGGTACACCATAGAATCTAATTTTTTTAAATACATCACACCATAAATTTATTGATTTGAAATGTATTAATTTTGCAACTTGAGCCACTTAGACCATTTGTAGTGGTTACAGATTAGGAGTCAAAAAATTAAATATGGAATTTTTAGACTCTTAATTGAGTGTAGTGGGAGATTAAAAGAGGGAGTAAAAGTGGGAAGAAGAGTGGAAGAGTCTAAAAATAGAGGGTGTAGTTGACAGGAGAAAAGAAAAGGAAAAAGAAAAAAAGAAAAAGAAAAGCGGCCGCTGCGCGTTGGTGTTGGTTCTGCTGACGTCATGATGATGTCACGCTTATGTCATTAAAATCCCATTTAATTTTAAACTCTTATAACTTTTTTATTTTTTCTCCAAATTCTTTGAAAAATATATCAAAATTCATGATTTTTTATGATCTTTCATATGACACTAATATGAAATATATAAAATGAAAAATAAATAAATAAATTTTAACTGTTGAAGTTTTGTTGAACCCAAAAAACACGAAACACAAATTTTTAATTCATTAAGCCTTCACAAATAATAAGTGAATATTACATAATCGAATTTTATTTTAACTAAGTTCTTTTTTGTTAACCAAAAACCGTTTAAAAAAGTTAGTGAAATTTATTTTTTTACATCGGAATGCGTATCTTTTACTTCATAATTATCTAGGTAAAAAAAATTAAAAGGAAAATATTTTTTATAATAATGTAATTAAGGTTTTACTAAATTGATAGGTAAAAAATATGCAGTGTATTTTATTGACGGTGCACGAATGCGAGAAAAAACAGTATTGACGGAGTCTAAACACCGTTTTCATATGGACGGAGTCCAAATTTAACAATTTAGACTCTCCACCTCTACAAATGGTCTTACACACCATACATAGACTGATTCAAGCTGTGCATTAGAGGCCTAGATTTTAGATTTTACTCGCATGATTTTCATTATATGATGTTAAAACTTGAATTCTATTGTGAATTACTAACCAACTTTAAAGGAGTAAACCTTGATAGACCTTTATATGTGTGTTTATGTTTTAGCAATTTGCCCATATGATCTTTAGCAGTTATTTTTTTATCGGGGCAGTTTGTTGGTTAATTAAAATCGTGTGGGGAACTATTCGATGGGTATATATTTTCCTCAAAATAGGGCAATGCTTTTGCTTTAAGACCAAGTGGAGTGTGCTCTTTTGAACCTAGACCTAAGGCTCACACATTATTTCATTAGTGGTATTGGATGATGAGGTACTTGTGTCTATGTTCAGAAACCGGTTTCTGTGGCACTAAAGTTAGGTGGGTCTTAACTTGATACTCCTTCCGTCCCAGAATTAACTTCGGTTTTGACTGGGCACGGAGATTAAGAAAGTGAGAAATGTGTGGTGGAGAGTTGTGCAGAGGAGAGAGAAATGTGTAAGAATGGTTGTGAACCACAAATCCTTTGCTAAAAAAGGAAAGAGGAGATAAATTTGGGACGGACCAAAAAGAAAAGAATGAAGATAATTATGGGACGGAGGGAGTATTAAGTTTTAAGTATTTACTAAGGTTAGGTAGGTTTTAAGTTCATTTATCATTCTATACGAAGCGTCCTTTCCAAGTTTAGTGTAAACATATGTAAAGTGCACGTATTCCAAATAGTTTTCATATTCCCTTCACCCCTTCTGCCCTTCACCCCTTCTGCCCTTCACCCATGCAATTTCCTAACTTCCTCCACTAATTTTTGTCATTCTCCATTGGTCTGATGCCTCAGTCGCCTCGCTCATGAAAATCAAGCATGAATAACTATGAGTTCAATTATGAAATAACTAAACTCATTTCTTGAACCCTTCTCTTAAATCAATCTTTCAATGAGTGAAGCATCAGATGTGTAAGGTCAGTTGAGTGAACCCTTCTTTTCATAAAGTGGCTGTGATACAGACAATTTTTTTTGTCTGTGTGGAAATTGATTTTCTTCATAAATTGCCACTCAATTTGACTGTGTAGCCGGTCAAATTGTCTGTGTACAGACAATTATGTGAGTGCATCTTGTAAAGTACCAATAGCTTGTGTATGTCTTCTCTATGTCTCTTTTGTTATAAAGTATCTGCGATACAAACAATTTTTTTACTTTTGTCTGTGTGAAAATCGATTTTCTTCATAAATCGCCACTCAATTTGTCTGTGTAGCCGGTCAAATTGTCTGTGTACAGACAATTATGTGAATGCATCTTGTAAAGTACCAGTAGCTTGTGTATGTTTTCTCTATGACTTCTTTATTAGTGGGATTTGAATATTACGTAGTACTTGTTTATTGTCAAGTTAATGTATTATTTAAATTAAATATATTTTAACTAACATGAGCTTTAACCATGTGACTACTTCAGGGACATCTTTTACCTCTTCGTGACCAATACTAGTATCTTGGAAGCCTGTGATTGAAAACTATGTCTCTTTTTCAATCGGGAGCAAGACAGGTGATATTTCAAATCGTGGCATAAAATGGATTCAGAAGGTCAAGAATAAGTAATTCTCTGAAAAAAGGTAAAGAAGTATTCAAATTTTATAAAATTGTAAATTTTACAAATTATAAAATTAAAATATGACTTAATTACCCTATTTGATTTTTTATAACATCATTAACATCCATAAAAGTCATAGAATATGGATCATAGAAAAAGAGTAGGCTGGGGATACAAAGAAAAGCAAGGGTCTCAAGATAAATGGATGATTAGATAATGTTTGAGAGAAGTCAAACGTTTGTTTCATAGCAATTGACTTCGAAGCCTCCACTTTTATCAGCACCGTCTTTCCGAAAGCTTCTGTTAGACAATAGTGCATCTGAACTCCATCTGTGCTTCCCATATAGCTAGATTTCTTGATTCCTACCGGTTTATCCAAGCCCTCTGGTAGCAGTGGTCGCGGTGTAGAACTGGAAATAAGAGTAGTAGACATTTTCTTTCGGTGGGAAGAAAGATAGAGAGCACTGATTTGTTACGAGATGTGCGTCTCACACACGCCTAAGAAAATATGGAGCCTTCATAAAAGCATTTATGAGTAGTTGAACAGTAACCCGTGTTACTGATCTCTCACACGCCCCAATAAAATAAGTAACAGTGAGAGTACTAAATAGGGAGCAGAGTGTTTGCTACACAGCCTTGGCAGTTTCTAAGACATAGGGTTAATGCTAAACAAAAAAACATATCGGAAGATTGGTTTGATTTCGATAACAAGACAAACAGCCTTTTTCTGCTTCAGATATAAGGATGTTTCCTGATCATGAAGCACCAAATAATTACCAGGGAACTGCATGAAAGTAACACATGCAGGGAAGGACTATAAAATCAAGATCAGACCTGAGAATTAAGGTCACGCAGCTGCCGCACTGCTCGAGGAGATCCATCCATGAAATACAATCCACCTGAGAGACCAACGCGCAAGTCCACCCAATTGAGTTCAATCTCCGTTAAATTCAGAACCTACATTTCTTCTCATGGTTAGTGCGCTGAGAATCTTATCAAACCATTTGTAGTACACAACTGCCCTAAAAGGTTACAATACAAAGTATCAGAGCTTTAAGGAGGAGTAATGGAGGACTAGTTCATACACTGACTATCTTGCTTGAATTATTGCCAGCTAAAATCACCACAGATGTGGTGGGGAAGGGCTTACGGTACAAGCACTAAAATGGTATCTCTAGTGGTTTTCAGCAGCTTCAAAGTTCAAAGGAACATTGAAAAAATACTATCATAAAGAGAGGGGCATAAAAACAATAAGGACTCTCTATGTATCAAGATCAACAAACATGTGTGCGCACTTAGGAAAGAAAATTTGCTAATTCTTCAACCTTCCTTTACTTTGTTGGCATTTGAATGGACCCTAATCCCAGGCCCATTAAAAAAACAAAAACGGATGAATGAATGGATGGATGGATGGATGGATGGATGGATGGATGGATGGATAAATAAATAAATAAATAAATAAATAAATAAATAAATAAATAAATAAATAAATAAATAAATAAATAAATAAATAAATAAATAAATAAATAAATAAATAAATAAATAAATAAATAAATAAATAAATAAATAAATAAATAAATAAATAAATAAATAAATAAATAAATAAATAAATAAATAAATAAATAAATAAATAAATAAATAAATAAATAAATAAATAAGGATCAAGAAATCTAGCTATATGAGAAGCACTATTGTCTAACAGAAGCTTTCAGAAAGACGGTGCTGATAAAAGTGGAGGCTTCGAAGTTAGTTGTTATGAAACAATTGTTTGACTTTGCTCAAACATTATCTAATCTTTCATTTATCTTGAGACCCTTGCTTTTCTTTGTATCCCCATCCTACTCTTACTTTTTCTATAATCCATATTCTACGACTTTTATGAATGTTAATAATGTTATAAAAAATCAAATAAGGTAATTAAGTCATATTTTAATTTTATGATTTGTAAAATTTACAATTTTACAAAATTTGAATACCTTTTTTCAGGGAATTACTAGAAGCCTTAAATCGTTTACATAAACGTGTTAATGGTGGTCATGGAGAATCTAAGTGATCCTAATAGTATTGTTGTATGGGGAAGACATATAAAACTCACCGGAATAGAGAAAGATTTTCAAGACCTTGGGCATCTGCTCTATGACAACAATCAAACATACCACTCCGGACTAACGAGCATCGTCACTCTTTTTCTTAGTGAAAGTTCTGGGTAAGTCTTATTTAAGTGTAATTATGTTGTACAAGTGTATAACTTAACATAAATTTTCAACTACCACTTAATTGTATATCGGAATAAATATTACAAGTACTACGTACATGGTAACACTTGTGGAAAAAGTGTTGTAAATTTGTACATGGTAATTTTTACATGGTATTTTTTGGGTAACACTTGTGAAGTTTTGTAAATTTAGTGCTTGTAAAGTTTATGCCGTTGGGGGTCTTGAGTCAAATCAGCTTACAAACTTTCCTTTTACAACATTACCCCACAGGCCACAAACTTGCATAACCTACCCACATTTGTGTAAAATTGCCCTTAATTTTTTCATAAAAATAGCTCCGCACGTGATGGGTTTTGATTATGTACAAATTGTCCTCTATACAAACCGATCCTTTTTTTTTTGAGTATTTACAAACTGATCCTCTTAAATTTATTTTGTTATTTTCTTAAGCAATCATGATTTTGCTGACTGTTATTCCGCATTGCTGACCTTGAAATGATAAAATGACTTATAATTCATCATTACTGATCACAGAGCCTTACCAATAAACCAAGGTTACAAATACTCCTTATATTTGATGTATTACTCTCTAGTATCTTCAACTCCATTATTTGATTTGTTTATCATCATCTATACTAAATAGGAGTAGTAAATAGTCTAATTAAAACTGTCATTTTGTTATCTCGCCCATGTTAGCACAATAGATCTTTTATTATAAAAAAAGCTACGAGTACGATAGACCTTAGAAAAAACTAGGGGTGAGATCTGTCCGGTGTGGGTCGGGTTTTTGCTAAACCCGGAAATTACCTGGAAGGTCTTGGGTTATGAAAATTAGGGACCGGAACAAAGCCCGTCATATTCGGTCCGAGTCGGGTTTTTGGTAGCCCGGGTTCGGTCCGGGTTTGGATTGGGCCGGTTAAAGCCCGAACGTGAACTATCTCATTGTTCTTTTATATCTTAACACATATTTTCAAATAAAATTAATGAAAAATACAAACCACAAATAGTAACACAAATATTAATCTTCAAAATCACCAACATTCAAATCCAAAGAAGATAATTATCTTAATATTTTATTTAAGATGCATATAAATAAATAATATAGGTTTCTTAACAATATTTTGAAATAAAATTTATAGATAAAAATGTGAATAGAGTTCCTATAAATCTATTTTTCATGGTCATTATGCTAAACAAATTGAACTTATTTTTAGTCAGTAAAGTTACTAAATGATTTTTTTATCCACCGTGATTATAATCATATATTAGGAAATATTTATAAATTTATACTCATATATTATATTAATTTTATATTAAAGCTAATTGTTTTGGGTTTTTCCGGTCCGGGCCGGGTTATAGATTTTAAGGCCCGTTAATGAGCCCGAAATTTCGGGTTCGGTCCGGGTATTTTTAATTCGGGCCGGTTAAAAAGAAAAAACCCGGACCGGGGTCATAATTCGGGTCGGTCTAGGGTCGGTTTCCGGGTTTCGGTTTGGGTTTTCCCACCCCTAGAAAAAACATCATATTTTGAAAAGGCAAATTGTATCAAAATATCACGTGTTCTCTTCTAACCAAGATAGAACTCATATTTTAGCATAATATATATGCTACTCCTTCCGTCTCATTTTACCTGTCTTACTTTCTTTTTTGAGTTGTCCCAAAATAAGTGTCACAAAAAAAATTGGAGTTTTTTTTATAAGGTGTAGTTTTGGAACTTATTTCTCAAACTAGGGTAGTTTCAAACTTATTTCCCAAATCAGGGCAATTTTTGTCATGTCATTTAATTATGATTACGGTTGCCATGTCAGCCTGTCCACTTCATTCAACCATTTCCGATTAGGTGACAACTCTGGTACCCATTTATAAAATGGGGTACCGTACCTAGGGGTGGACACGGGGCGGGTGGTCCAACCCGGAACCGGCCCGAACCGGCATTGTTCCGGCCCGGCCCGGCCCTGCCCGGTGGCCCGGTCCGTGATCGGTCCGGGTAGGCTTGACCCGCTGGGGTTCCGGTCCGGGCTCGGGCTCCCTAAATCACGAACCGGCTTGGCTGGTTCGGGCCCGGTTCCGATTCGTTTTAATTTTAATTTTTTTTCATTTTTTTTTGTTTTCGGGTTGGGCTGGGTATTTTGGGCCATTTGGGGTGGTTTGGGGGTGAGGGGGTTGGGGGTTAACTATGAAAAGGGGGAAAAAAATAACTAAGGCCTAGCCCGGGCCGGACCCGGGGAGTACCCGGGCCGGTTCCGGGGCCCCCATTCTTGAACCGCCGGCCCGGGCCCGAACCGGCCCGAGTCCACCCCTAACCGTACCTACCATGCATTTGATTGGTCCAAGTCATGATATCCTTTTTTATTTAGATTTAAATAATTCAACTGCAACACTCTTATTGGTCCATGTGGACAAATATATGGTACCTTAAGGGTACCATAGGGCAAATTCTACCGTGCAACCGGCATATCTTGCGCATGGTATGCCGGTATTAATACAGTGCCGTTTTTTATACTTCCCCTGCCTCGTTTTTTTCTTCTTTCTCATTGATTACTTTTAATTTTCTTTATCAAAAGCCTTCATGCTCTCTATTTTCTTATCTACACTCACACACTCCAATCATCGTTCCACCATCATTTTTTCCATTCTATGTTTATTTTAATTTTTTTATTATCAAAAGCAATCATGGTAATAAACAATTTTTTTTAATTTAGGAACAATGATGTATGTATTACAATTTTGAGATTAAATTTTCATTCTTTCAAAAGAAATTAATTATGTTTTTTTTTTCTGTCTTAGTCCTTATTCATACACTTTTTTCTTTTCTTATTTGCTTCAACTTAACTTACAATAAAAAATTAATTTTTTTCTTCAAAATAAATAGTTTTATATTTTATACATTTGTGTGATTTATATTTCAACATGTGTGAGTTGTGTTTATAGACAATTTCTGGAATTACATTTGATAATATATAAAGGTACACCTTCTTATGCGCGAGTTACATCTGTTTATACGTGAGTTACATTTTAATGTACTCGAGTTACATCATGAAATAAACCTTGCTAATGATCAAAAAATGATTTTTTAACTATATCATTTTTATGATAAAAAAACAATATCATTTTTGTAACCCTAATATTAAAAAACATATTCACTATTTACAAAAAGTAATTGGGCAAATTAAATAGGATCAATTTGTAATTGTTTACATTGAAATCAATGTTGATAATATACATAAGTTTTCTTTTCTTTTCTTATATGTATTTATGTATATATAAGATGTTTACATTTCAACTTTTCTAGAATTACATTCTAATGTACACAAGTTGCATCTTAATGTACGCGAGTTACACCACTAAATAAACCATGCTAATGATAAAAAAATATTTTTAACTAAATCAATTTTTATAGCCTTAATGTTAAAAATTCAAAACATATTCACTATTTATAAAAAGTAATTGGGAAATTAGGATCAATTTTTCATTGTTTACATTGAAAAATTCCGTTTTTGACAACTTACATATCAACTTGACTTAAGTTACATTTCCTATCAACGTGAGTTACATTTTTGTGAACGGGAGTTACATCGTCCTGCTACTAAAACACAAAAAAAAGTTACTGTTCATCCGTGTTTTACCCCTGGGAGCATGATGCTCATTGTGCGCAGGTACCACGATATACGAATTGGTACCGTAGAATCTACCTTCCGATTATCACTGCGGTTGCTATTCAGGCATTTCCGTGTCATCCATACAAAAACAAAAAGTTATGTACACCCAGGATTCGAACCTGGGCTGAAGAAGTATGGACGTGCTTCACATAGGGGTTCAACCACAAGGCTACACCTTTCACTTCCCTAAAATCACTTTTTCTAATATTTAAATACAATGTTTGTATAATAAAAAACATAATTTTTTTAACGCTAATAACAAGCATAATTAAAAACTTAATTTGCACTAGAATTAGATAAATTCTAATTAAAAACTTTATTAGAGAAATTAAATTAAAAATTAAATAAAAATTCAAATATAAAACTTAATTTGTGATATTTAATTAAAAAATTTAAACGTAATTGAACTTATATAAAAACATAATTTGAAATATGTAATTAAAAAAATTGAATTAACACGAAAATACTAAATTAAATAATTAAATTTAATTCTAGTGCCTAGTAAATTTAATTCTAGTAAATTTAAACGGAATTAACACTAATATATAATTTTTTATATATTTTTAATGTAAACTATCATATACTTTGGTGGTAATAATTTTTTTCTAAATAAAATCCTTTCTACGGAGTAGTAAATTTTAAAAATTAATTAAAATAATAAATTTGAGATAATTAAAAAATAAAGACCTAATTAAACTTTATAATAACAAAATGTCATGAGAGAGGGAGTATATTATATTTTACAATAAAAGTATATAATTTTTTTAAATTAGGATGGTCTAGGGACTAGAATTAAATTTAATGTTAATTAATTAAATTGAGTTTTTTCCCGTATTAATGTTAATTAATTAAATAATTACAAAAATAGGGGTGCGTTAAAAGTATTTATCAATATACTGTTGGGTTAACCATGGTCGGGGTAAGTCGCCCAACGGTTGGGCGACTTATAAGTCGCCATCCGGTTTGGCGACTTATAAGTCGTCCAACCGTTGGACGACTTACCTATTGAATAGGCAGTCGGGCTGGGTCTGCGAGATGGAACATGTTTTATTCCCCCAAACCCCCAAACCCACTGCAGTGATGAACGAAAGGCGGACGACCGAACCCATCTCCGGCGAAGCTCCATCTCCAACTCCGGCGAAGCTCCATCTCTGGCGAAGTCATCTACCCAAGGTCTCTCCACCTCCATCTTCTTCAACACTCTTTCTTCTAGCGAAATCAAACTCCATTTTATCTCATTTTGAAGTTAGGGTTTTGAAAGTTAAAATTTTCGAATTTTTAGATTATGAATTGATTTGTGAATTAATGTGTTGTGAAATGTGGATATGTATGAAAAGTTGAAATTTGATATTAAATTGATTGTAAATTTTAATGTGTATTTTGACATTTGGGTGGATTTGAATGTAGCTAAATTTGGGTATTGAAATATAGACTAGAATGTAGATATCAAAATTTGGGTATTTTGATATTGAAATGTGAATTGATTGTGCATTTTGACATTTGGGTATATTAGAATGTAGCTAGTTTTTTTTTTAATTGAAAAACTTAATGTGTATAAACTGGGTATGTAACACCGTCCCCAAATATATTTACTTTTATGTAAATAATGTATTGAACCTTATTAAAGGATTAATGAATTTACGAAGTTGTAAATTTTTATTATTTCTTTCGCGTGAATAGAAAATTGCACGTGGGACCCACACCGGGAGTGGGGGCCGCCCGACATTCCCGAGACCATATATTTTATTCATCTTGGTCTAGATAATAAATATATAGTGGTGGATATTTCATTTGGGCCATGGAAAGGCCCAGAGTTGACCGATCGATCAAAAGAAGCCCAAATTACCGGTACTGGTAATTTAACGGATAACGGCCCGAACTGAATTTCGGAGGCTTATGAATTAAAGTTGGGGAATGTATATTCATTATACATGTCATAATGAGTAAGAGCACATAATATATTTTATTTGACCCGATAAAATAAAATATATTTAAAACAGTCCGAAAAAATACAATTTTCGGGACAAATTGTACACGTCGGGGCAAAAAGGGTTGACCTCCCACATGAGTGGGGGCCAACCCACGATTTTTGCCACTCAAATTGAGGGCTTGGTCGGCTGTTTGAAGAGGAAAGCATGGGAGGGAGAGGTTGACATGATCTAAAAGGCATCAAACAAAAATGAGGTGGCCCCCCATCCACACCCATTTGTTCAATGAGACAAAGGGGTAAGCCTCACCCCTCTCCCACCCTCATTTTCGGCCAAGAGAACCCAGGAAGAGCAAGAAAAACCACCCAGCCTCCTTCCTCCATTGTTGAAGAGAAATCATCAAGGAAGAATCACCCAAAACGGAGCTAAAGTGCTAAAAGTGTGAAATAACTAAGGTAATGACCTTATTATAACTTCTCCTTTATTTTTCTTCTACCATATGAGATATATATCATGTGAAGAATCCTTGAGAGGGTTCTACATGTTATAAGTATGGATTAATGGGTTGGAAAGTGATTCTATGTCCAAGAACGGACTTAGAAGCCAAAACGACCGGTTCACCGGAAAATAACCGTTTTGAGGTTATTTGTATTAATACGGGTTTTATGATTATAAAACCTTGTTAGGAACTTGTGAAAGGTATTTCAAGTGATTTCACAAAGTTGGTAAAGTCGCCGGAGTTGTCGCCGGAGTTGACCGAAAGTCGCCGGAGTTTCACCGGAGTTCAACCAAGAGGGGTAGAACTTCATAACGCTAGTTCAAGGTGAGTGGACGGCTTAATATCTTATAACTTTTGGGTTAATTATGAGATTACCTAAATAAATGTTATATGTGTTCATAATGGTGTTTAAAAGATATTTAAACATGTGATTAGCCAACATGATTAAGTTGTATGAAAAGAATTAATTGTTTATGCATGAAATATGATATGAGGAATTATATAAAATGCATATTAGCTTGAAGTGTAAAAGAAGCGCAAATGAGTATTATTAACTTAATCATATGATGATCAAGTTGATATGTACAAGGCTTGAATTGGCGGTCGACGACAACGTTGACCGATGAATAATGGATTGATTAATATCGGTTGATATTAATTAATTATACGTTTATATAATTGCATGGCTTTGCATGGATTGTGATACATAAGCTTTATGTATGGAATTAGTTATGAGTAACTAAGTATGATATAGACTCTATCTAGGTTGATAGGAGGTTGATCATAGGAAAATATTTTGGTGGAGGACCCTAGTACTTAAAAGTACTTAACACTCAAAACTTGGTGGAGGACCCTAGTACTTAAAAGTACTTAACACTCGGAATATAAATTGGTGGAGGACCCTGGGGCTTAAAGTCCTTAACACTCGGATTATAAATTGGTGGAGGACCCTGGGGCTTAAAGTCCTTAACACTCGGATTATAAATTGGTGGAGGACCCTGGGGCTTATAGTCCTTAACACTCGGATTATAAATTGGTGGAGGACCCTGGGGCTTAAAGTCCTTAACACTCGGATAATAAATTGGTGGAGGACCCTAGTACTTAAAAGTACTTAACACTCAAATTTTGGTGGAGGACCCTAGTACTTAAAAGTACTTAACACTCATAGGTTATGATATTGAAATAGGTACAAGGAGGGGTCCTATACACTCATAGGTATATGGGTGGGTTGGGGTTTTTAGTCAAGGATATTGACTATTACTATTTTCCCAAATAAAACGGTGATCTACGGATCGGGTATTTTCCAAGTATATATATACTAATGAGTATTTCATAACTTGGGGGAAAGGACTATTTATATAAGTATCACCCTATGTTTGGGTCTTATACTTGAAACGCTAGTTATTCTATATTTAGCCTGCTACTCGCTCGGTACTTGTACTGACCCCTTCGGGGCCCCCCACCATTTTCAGGTTGAAGCTAGGGCTTGCTACTTGCACCTATCTTACGGGTGATATCGACTCAGGAAGACGTGGTTCGTGCTTCCTTATTTTCTTTCAAACTACCGAACACTTGCTCATGGATATTTTGTTCTACTATAAACTATTTTTGGGGCTTGCATGCCCATGTTGTTGGCCGGTTGTGGCTTATGACTTACCGTTGAATATATCCGTTATTCATTGGTTTTAATGTGATGTTGTTATGTATGTTTACTACTGAGTATGGATGGATTATATTCTCGAACGCCTTGTGTAATTAAGTGAGGTTGACTCGCGGGTGACGTCACTTGATTATACGGCGGTTGTACGCGCGCTTGGATTGCGGTCTGGGGCGTGACAGGGTATATTGATGTGTAATCATGAAAGTTTAACATGTATTGTTATTAGAATATGGATTTCTCCAACTTCCCAATTGTGTGTTATTGAGGAGGAAAGCATTATGAGGATGCTGGGCAAATATGCCATGAAGGTGGTAGAAGCGGCTTTGTGATTGTTTCTCGTGGCACTTGCTTGCTCGAGATACTTCAAAAAATACATGCAGCTACAATGATTACTCCGACTAGTTCTTTGCGTTTGAAAATGAAATTTCCAATGAAAAGGGGAAAGTACATGCTTATGCCCCTAACTGATGAACTAGCTATATCAAATATGTGGTCGATAATTGAGATGGAGGCTATGTCCACCCTGGAGTTATACATTGAGGACTCCATATGTGACATATCTGCTACTCTATCAACATCAAATGTTGTTGTATCTAGGCAGGGTGTGAATGCAGGGAACTCCTCACATGCTGCTGTACTGGACATGGTTGTAGAGGAAGAAGGTATGTATTTTCACAATGGTGCATCATTTGTTGATGGGCAGGACACTGATGATGATGCTGACGAGAACATTAATGGTGATGACGTGACTGAATCTGATGAAGATGATGGTGATACTGTCACGGCAACTGCCCCTCTAGCCACTTTACTAGAATTTATGATCTCCCTGAAGACTTTATTGATGTGTGGATGAGTGGATCAGGTATGCAAAGGTTTGCCCCCGAAGGTGAGATTGAAGTCGGTCAACAGTTTAACAATAAAGAACAAATCATCAATATGGTGAGCTTGTATTCTATCAAACGGAACCAATTTTATCGGGTGATGGAGTCCGATAAATACAAATGGGTGGCACAGTGCAAAAGGAAGAAAGAATGTGACTGTCCCTGGAGAATATGCGCCACAAAGAACAAAGACAACCTTGACAGCTTCACAATTGTGCGTTATCCGGGACCTCATTCGGCTACGTGTGTCACAAAGAATATTTCTTCTAGTTTCACTAGTATTTCTTTTTCTCATGTGAAGGAGCATGTGAATCGGGTAGCCCATGATCTTATACGGGTTGCTGGTTTTATGTTTGATCGCTATATTTGGTATTATAGGTATCCATCTTGTATTTCATCTTATTTAGACCATGACTTTATAAATAATTTTAACTATTTTTTTTTTAAATCCATCCAAATATTTTGTCAATTTGATTACACATTGTATTATTATACTCTAAGTTTCAGTGTTTAGTTTTAAATGTAGCATATTCCATCCAATGGATCTTATTAATACTTGTTTTACTTTCCATTGTTGGTTAGAGAACCAGAAGACAATATGCATATTCTTTATTTTCATTATCATTCCTATTTTTCATCCACTCTTCCCTAGTTTTGTAACTTTGTTCTGATCCATACTCCTCAAATATTTGGTTTTTCATGTATTTTTCTTGCCATGTCAATGCCGCATAAACAAAATCAAAACTTACCAGTTCTCAATTAACCATGATCTCCATTCATTTAGTTTTTTTATGATTTTTATTTTTATTTTTTCCAAGTAGGTATTTAAATCATTCCAAATTAAAAGTAAAGTTGCATTAATTCCTTTTTCTCTATTTTTGCTTATTCGCTTAGCAGTGTCTTGATAAGTGAAAGGGAAAATCCCAATTTTTCCATCCCACAAAACATCTTCATTTTCAGAAATTCTAGGCCTTCCAACAATCGCTAGAAACGTAACTTTAGGAATATATCTTTTGCTTTGAACCGCTCTATAGGGGTCACACTCATCCAGGTGCATATAGACATGTTCATTTTCTCTAGTTAAACTGAATCATTTTTTCATCTGTATGCACATAATCATAAAAATCATGAAATGTGGGATTGGACAAAATTGTGTGAGTAAGTAAATGGCTTAAACAAAACTGTGTTATTGCTGTCTTACCTTTTTCAGTTAAAAATGGATTCACTTCATTTGAGTGCCGCTTGATTTCCTTCATTTTCACATACCTTTGAACGATTGATTTAGAAGATTGCAGTTTTACTGGCAATGAACTCAATGTGCTTCTTCTATGAATAAGGAATGTTTTGATTTGTTCCAGATTTATTGCAATTCTCTTTCTACCTACATTTCCTCTCAACCTAGGCATGACATCAATCTTTTGTCCATATCTCATTTGTGTTTGAACTCTGCCAAATTCCGGAAATTATGTGCCTAGACACGTTAAACTGATTAGCAACGGAATATATTATGCCTCTCTTGACTTGCCCATTCACACATTTGGCTAAAAGAGCCTTCACTGCATTTATTCTCTCTGTTTCATTCAATAAATGGTACTTGTCTCTTTTTTGCTAGTCACTCACACTGATTTTCTGGTGAATTTCTTCAGGTACTAGAGTTAATGCAAGGGCCTTTGCAAAGGGAGTATATTGCTGCAACTCAGCATTTGGTGAAAGAGGAAGAGGAGTGTTATTATCCATTAGATGAGTATATGGGTATTGCCATGGAGCAATAGAGTAACAAGCCTCCTGTATTTATTGATGTAATAATGAAGGGAAAAGGGAAAATTTAAAGTTGTTTTTGGATATATTTTTTATCAGTCGTGTATTTCTCACCATGGTTTTAGCTACAAGCTGTAAAAATACACTTCAATGTACTTTGTAATTCAGTCCACATCTTTCTTTGATGTACTTTGTAATGCATTCCACATATTCCTTTACTGTACTTTGTAATGCAGTCCACATATTCCTTGATCAATAGTGCCTTCGAATGCTTCATAATCTAGTGGCACGCTTTATCGTGTACACTTTTTATTTCAAATGGCTTGCGTCAGTTAAGTGGAGGGTAATTTAGCGCAATTTTTTTTTTGTTTCTCCTTATTATTTGTCATGCCGGTCAATTTTGGCGAACAACTCCAAGGCGGAGAGAGTAATTGATAATAATGTACGTACTCAAATGTACATTATTTAGAGTTATAATTTAATTAAATTTTGGAATATTATTTGTATACCTAAAATAAACCACATGTGTTGGTGAACAATTTACAAGAGGCTATATATATCTACTTAAATCCTCCATTTCTGATTTCTCCATCGCTAAACCAATCAATTGTCCGTAGAACAATATTCCCTCTTTCCTTAAAAACGTGTCAAGTTTAACTGTCATGTGAAATAATAAAGAAAAAGTGTGTGATTGAGATTTTGCAGAGAAGAGGGAAATAATAAGAATCACAATTTCATTGTTTTAAAGAGAAAGTGACACAATTTCATTATTTAAAAGAGAAGGTGATAAATGATTTAAAAAAAAAAAAGAGAAGGTGACAAGTGTTTGAGACCACTAAAACAAGAAATATGACAAAATTGTAAGGGACAAAAAAAGTATTTCCCCATCTCTTTTATGTGCTTAATGAGCGTTGATGTATGCAAATGATTTTTAAAGGTGTTTCCAATTCTTTTAACGGGTATTCATACAAAATTAGTGTTTTCAAACGGATCATTCTACATTAAAGCTGAAATCTATTAGTAATGGAATGACATTTAAAATTGATTATCAATCTTTTTGTACTTTACTTTCTCAGGTATCTGATCTGTTAAATGTCAACATCCTTGACTGTAATAGTTTTGAATCTGTGACCTCCTTCTTAGAGTGTATAAAAATAATGTCTTCGCAAAGTACCTAACGATTTCCACATCGAAAAGTATTTCTTCATTGAACGCTAATTTTTTAAAAATCATTTATCTTTTCAAACATGATTAACTTTACTATTAATTACTTGGTATAATGTCCCTGGAACAAACCATCCTTAAATGTAAAAATAAAGGCAAAAGTTCTTTATCCACTCTATTTCACTCTATTAAGAGCATCTCCATTCATGATTTCCAATAATCATTTTTTTCTATGATTTTTATTATTTAAGCATTGTCATGTAATTAATTTTAAAATAATCTCAAAATTCGTTTATGCTTCTCAATTATCATTTTCAAATAATCTGCGTTTTCTTTGTCCTGCATTAAGCTCTATTACATATACTTTGTAAATAATCTTAAAACAATCTGGATTCATATTTTGATCCCAGATTATTGTAGCCAATAATCTTTTTAAACAATCTATTTCATTCAATGATAATTCTTAAAAAAAATCGACATGTCACCAATTTAATCTCATAATAATCCTACCAATGAGAATGCTCTAAGTAGAGCCGGAAATTTCATCCCAATGAACTAAATTGAATGAATCGTAAATAACTTATAGCTTATTTTATTTTTTATTTTTTATCCCAGAGGCCAACTACCAAAATCAGTGGGGCAAATGCCAGGGAACATTTGCCGAGTTTTATTAGAAATAAAAAAGATACAAACGGAAAGGGGGACTAGGCCAAAACCTCTCCAGAAGAAGCATACTTCTTCGAAAAAAAAAGAGACAGAAAGAACAACAATTGGGGGGTAAGACGCGACCTGACCCAATTTAAAACAAGAAAATAAATAATTAGCGAACAACTCTAACTGAAGGAAGCCCAAAAAGGTCCATAAAATATGCATTACGGGCTTGATGTGGTAAATCAGCAATTTGAAAGTAGTTTTTGGGCCGATCCATAAAAGAGGTTGCTAAAAAGTGGGCAGCCCAATTTGCTTCCCTCAAGATAGCAAAATAGGAAATCGTTCTGCTCTCAGACAGATCCAACAAATCGTTGACCTCACCGCTCCATCGTCCTCTTCCTCTACGATGCAGATGCTCCAGAGCTTCCCTAGAATCCATTTCAACCTGGAAATCCGTAAAACTAGCATCAATCGCCCAAGAAGTCGCATGTATGACAGCAAGCAACTCAGCTTCAAAAGCGGAAGACGCTGAAATTGGGAATGAAATCGCCATGACCAACCTGCCTTCACTGTTCCTCAAGATAGCACCTCCGGCAACTTTCTGAGGTGAGAAACTCGCATCAACATTGAGCTTATAAGATCTTTTAGGTTTCCTCCATAAAATAGCTTTAAACGTAGGTCGGGGTAGACGAAAATTCCTAGGGACCAGATGCTCTTCATACAGAATCGCCCCAACCTGGGTAATCTTGCTAGTTGAGAAACTAGATACCCAATCCTGAGAAAAAATCTTAATTTGAGAAATAAGAGAGTCAACTTTAGGAGATATGCCATCCGAGCCTCATACCAAACCAGTATAGGATTTCCAGATCTGCCAGCAAATTATACCTGGTAAACAGTGTTTATCTGCCAGCAAATAAACAGTGTTTATTTGGTAAACCCTATATTTGGTTTATCTTCCTTATCATCAATGTTTTATCGAACAAGAAATACTCATTGTTGCACGTTAAATTGTTTAATAATGACATATGTTTTATCATCAAGTAAGATCGATATTGCATTTCTGACTGAATCGGCTAAAATTGCTCGTTATGTTAAGAGGGTAAATGTTGAGGTTAATCTAACACGATATAGTAAATATATATATATATATATATATATATATATATATAAATGTGTATGATTAAGCTCAGTTTTTACGTGGAAACCCGAAAGGGAGAAAACCACGGGACTTTTTAGGCTAATGTTCAAGCCCTCTCTTTCTCATTAAACTCTCCTCACCATTACATAGTACATTTTGAGCTCCCATTAATGGAGTCTTGTAAGCTATTCTAGGGAGAAGAAGAAGCATGGGGAAGAAGGAAAAAAGGATCCTAATATGGAGGGAAACTCCCATATTTATAGAGAAAGGGGATGGGGAAATAATCCACCCTAATGGGCCGGAATGGGCCCAAATGGCTAAAGTGGGCCAGAATGGGCCGAAATGGACCTAGCTGCTCGGGCTCCGTACTGAGTAATGTCTTGGGCTCCTGAACAGTAATAGGCCGGGATAACATATCCCAACACAAGTCCCCCAGTTTCTTGAGTAGTGAGCGTGCGAATCTGCTCGAGAAATTATACTCTTGCCTGCGCTCTTCCTCTGTCTTCCTGGAAACTGTGTCTTCGAATAATCATAATATATGAGTGGGTGTCTGCCCCTCTGATTATAACCTGCCGGTAAGGCGCTCCCCTCCCGATGGGGTCGAGCAAGGGATGCTCTTCCTCGGACACTCTCCCCTTAAATGTATCAGGTGGGAGTAGAGGACTCTTACTCGAGCTTTCCAATGGAGAAGCTTATAGGTCCCTGCATAATATAAGCTGACGACGCGGAACTGACAATACATGATGTATATGTGTATGTATGAATGTATGAGGTATGATGCATGAATGTATGTATGCATGTAATGTATGAGTGCAATGTAAGATGTGGCATAAAGTGGTAGATCTCATCGATAAACTGTACACAACGCCACCGAGGGGCCGATCGTGCTACATAAGAAGGGTCCCCCATCCGGTACGGCATGGGCAGAGCTGAAGATGAACTAGACACGATGCCGCCGAGGGGCCAATCGTGCTACATAAGACGGATCCCCCATCCAGTACGGCATGGGCGGTGCCGAAGATGAACTAGACACGATGCCGCTGAGGGGCGAATCGTGCTGCATAAGACGGTCGTCGCCATTCTGGAGGGAATGGGCGAGCCGAGGATGGACTAGACATGATGTCACCGGGGGGGCAATCATGCTGCATAAGAGACGTTCATCGCCATCCTGGAAGAGATGCGCGATTTGAACGTGGAAACGACACGACGACGCTGAGGGGCCGATCGTGTTGCATAAGACGGGGCCCCATCCTAGAAGGTATGGGCGGTGCCGAAGATGAACTAGACATGATGCCGCCGAGGGGCCAATCGTGCTGCATAAGACGGTCGTCGCCATTCTTGAGGGATGGGTGAGCCAAACATGAGCCAGACACGATTGCGCTCAGAGGCTGATCGTGCTGCATAAATACGTTCGTCGCCATCCTAGAAGGGATGGGCGAGTCGAACACGAGCCAGGCACGATGGCGCTGAGGGGGCCGATCGTGCTGCAAAAGACGTCCGTCGCCACTAGAAGGTATGAGCGAGCTGAACAAGAACTAGACACGATGGCACTGAGGGGCCGATCGTGCTGCATAAGACGTTTGTCGCCACCCTGGAGGGTATGAGCGAGCTGAACAAGGACTAGACACGATGGCACTGAGGGGCCGATCGTACTGCATAAGATGTTTGTTGCCACCCTAGAAGGTATGAGCGAGCTGAACAAGGTTTAGACACGATGGCGCTGAGGGGCCGATCGTGCTGCATAAGACGTTCGTCGCCACCCTGGAAGGTATGAGCGAGCTGAACCGTAAATCCCGGTGTTGTCCTTCCTGTCTCATATGGGCAGCTGATCTTCGTTCATCTACCGTATCCGTGGTCCTATGTACGGACCGCTAAGCGGTGTACACTCGGCACGCAACAGACTCCGGTAAAGAACTGGTCCCTCCAGTCTGATCTGGGGAGCTGGTCTTCGTTCGTCTACCGTATCAGTGGTCCTATGTACGGACCGCTAAGCGGTGTACACTCGGCACGCAAAAGACTCCGGTAAAGAATTGGTCCCTCCTGTCTGATCTGAAGAGCTAGTCTTTGTTCGTCTACCGTATCCGTGGTCCTATGTACGGACCGCTAAGCGGTGTACACTCAGCACACAACAGACTCCGATAAAGAACTGGTCCCTCCTGTCTGATCTGGGGAGCTGGTCTTCGTTCGTGTACCGTATCCGTGGTCCTATGTACAGACCGCTAAGCGGTGTACACTCGGCACACAACAGACTCCGATAAAGAACTGGTCCCTCCTGTCTGATCTGGGGAGCTGGTCTTCGTTCGTCTACCGTATCTGTGGTCCTATGTACAGACCGCTAAGCGGTGTACACTCGGCACACAACAGACTCCGATAAAGAACTAGTCCCTCCTGTCTGATCTGGGGAGCTGGTCTTCGTTCGTCTACCGTATCTGTGGTCCTATGTACGGACCGCTAAGCGGTGTACACTCGGCACACAACAGACTCCGATAAAGAACTGGTCCCTCCTGTCTGATCTGGGGAGCTAGTCTTCGTTCGTCTACCGTATCCGTGGTCCTATGTACGGACCGCTAAGCGGTGTACACTCGGCACACAAGAGACTCCGATAAAGAACTGGTTCCTCCTGTCTAATCTGGGGAGCTGGTCTTCGTTCGTCTACCGTATCCATGGTCCTATGTACGGACCGCTAAGCGGTGTACACTCGGCACACAACAGACTCCGATAAAGAACTGGTCCCCCCTGTCTGATCCGGGGAGCTGGTCTTCGTTCGTCTACCGTATTCGTGGTCCTATGTACGGACCGCTAAGCGGTGTACACTCGGCACACAACAGACTCCGATAAAGAACTGGTTTACCCTGCCAGGGTTCCCGTTTTTCGTTCACTACCTATCTGTGGTCCTACGTACTTCCCGCTAAGCGGAGTACGCTCGGCACGCGACAGGCTCGTGTAAAGAACTGGTTTATCCCGCTAGGATTCCCAAGTCTCGGGTTCTAAGCCCGTCCCCCTCTATCGTTTTTTTTAGGGGGGGAAATACGTTCGTCGGTTCCAAGAATGAATACAAGTGATGTCAAATCTGATGGTTGTGGGTTACCGAAACGAATATAATGACGAGGCGATGTAATTGCTGGTCATCATGCGAAGGCGATGGTCACCATCCGGGAGGGGAGTGGTGAGCCCGATCGCCAACCAAAGAAGGTCGGCATTGGGAGCCGATATACAGGTAATCATAATGTCACTGAGTAGTCGGTCCTGATAAGAAGATGACAATAGTGTCGAGTCAGACCGAAACATCCGAGCAACGGCTCTCATCCGCGCAGCGCAGGGATGAAACCGGTCTTCAAATATGATGGTGGCACCGTACCAGGGGGTCGTTGGTCATGTAAAAATGTCGACACTAGGGGCCGATCAGAGAGGATCAAGCAACGGCCCTCATCCGCGAGGAGCGGGGATGAGGCCGGTCTTCAAATATGAAAAGCACGCCGAGCCGGGTGGTTGGTCGTGATATATAATGATGTCGGCAATGAGAGGCCGACCTGACAGAATCAAGCAACGGCCCTCATCCACGAAGGGCGGGGACGAGGCCGGTCTTTAAAAGATAAACACGCTGTGCCGAGAGGCCGGTCATGATGTAATGATGTCGGCAATGAGAGGCCGACCTGAAAGAATCAAGAAATGGTCCTCATCCGCGCAGCGCGAGGACGAGGTTGGTCTTCAAAAGATAAACACGCCGTGCCTAGAGGCCGGTCATGATGTAATGCTGTCGGCAATGAGGGGCCGACCTGAAAATCAAGCAACGGCTCTCATTCGCGAGGAGCAGGGACGAGGCCGGTCTTCAAGTATGATAATGGCACCGTACCAGGGGGTCGGTAGCCATGTAAAAGTATCGGCCTGGGGGCCGATCAAAAAGAGCCAAGCAACGGTCCTCATCCGCGAGGGGCGGGGACGAGGCCGGTTTTCAAATATGATAATGGCACCGTACCAGGGGGTCGGTAAGCATGTAAAAGTATCGGCCTGGGGGGCGATCAGAAAGAGCCAAGCAACGGTCCTCATCCGCGAGGGGCGGGGACGAGGCCGGTCTTCAAATATGATAATGGCACCGTACCAGGGGGTCGGTAGTCATGTAAAAGTATCGGCCTGGGGGGCGATCAGAAAGAGCCAAACAACGGTCCTCATCCGCGAGGGGTGGGGACGAGGCCGGTCTTCAAACATGGAAGGCACACCGTGCCGAGAGGCCGGTCGTGACATAGTGGTGTCGGCAATGAGGGGCCGATAAAGAGAATCAAGTAACGGTCCTCATCCGTGAGGAGCAGAGACGAGGCTAGTCTTCAAAAGATAAACATGACGTGCCGAGAGGCCAAACATGGTATGATAGTGTCGGCAATGATGGCCGATCTGAGAGGTCGGTCTTCAAAAGATAAACACGTCGTGCTGAGAGGCCGGTCGTGATATAATGATGTCGGCAATGAGAGGCCGACCTAAAATCAAGCAACGGTCCTCATCCGCGCAGCGCGGGGATGAGGCCGGTCTTCAAAAGATAAACACGCCGTGCCGAGAGGCCGGTCGTGATATAATGATGTCGGCAATGAGAAGCCGGTCAAGTGTATCCGTGCAACGGCTCTCATCTGCGCAGCGCGGGGATGATACCGGTCTTCAGGATGTAAACACGTCGTACTGTGAGGTCGGTCGTGATGTAAGGATGGTCTCACGACCCTCGGCCGTAGTGGTCTCCTCTAGGCCACCGGCTCCTGGGGTGGAGATGCTCGTATCACGGCTCTCAGCCATGATGGTTTCCTTTCGGCCCTCGGCCTCTGGGTGGAGGTGTTCGGTCTTACGGTTATCGCCCGCGATGGTCTACTCCTGGCCCTCGGCCTCTTGGGGAAGTATGAACGTCTCGCAGCCTTTTTTCTTTAGCCGCTTTGGAACGTCCTTTGGAATTCGTGCCGAGCGTCATTTAATCTTTTGCTCGAGTGCGTCAAGCGACCTTAACTGCATAACTAACATGGCAACGGGCCGCTCGGCCTAACAATATATATACACATATAGCCATCTGCGTGGCTTCCTTTTTTTTTTTCAACATCCACGATTACCGGCCTAATGGTTATCGTGACCCTCGGCCCGGCTCATCGTGTGGGGTTGTTGGACGTAGCAGCTCGCGGCGGGGCCTTTTAGCAGCCTGCCGAACGTCTCATAGAAATAACCACTGGTCTGTGAGTTTGAAAACTCAGACCCAAGTTGGTCGCACTGCCCTCGAAAAAACGAGGTTGAGGGCTCTAGTGCCCTCGGGCCCCACATGCCGCGTTTGGCACAGTCATTTCGCCTAGTGGCGTAGATGGTACTAGGGAACGATCGTCGCTCAGGCACTTGGTGCTGTGCGGACTAATGCGTAACCCCCAAATTAAAACGCGTTATCGGGGCAGTGCCCTCTGGAGACGCTTGGATCACTTAATCAAAGCTGATCGAGAGTGGGCTAATCGGGCCCACCAACAATTAAACATTCAATAAAAAAGTTGGCCGAACTAACCATCACTAGAGCTTCGCTCCACATTATTTAAGTCCGGACATTTTTATCCCTAATAAATGATAGTGATGTAACTAGTAATAGTAATGATACTATCCTACCAAAGGCAATTCAGATACGCTCCGTTCGCTAATTAAAGCCGATAGGGAGCGGGCCGACGGGCCCACAACAACCAGTCATTAAATTTAAATGACGATGAAATTAATCATCACCCGAGCATCGCTCGCACTATTTCATTTTGGGAAAATTTACTCCCTTTTAAATAATGGTGATGAAAATAATACTATCAATATTGATATTTAGAATTACTATTCCAAATAAAACTTTAATCAGTAAATGAGGGAGTTCGTTTGATACTTAGCTTTTTGTAGTCAAACTCTTCGGCCAGCAGGGATTGTAGAACTTGGTGAATTTAGATTTGATTCCTCATTCCCTCCTTAATTTGGACCTGGTCAACCTTGCTCAAGAGCCAAGGACTTCAATTAATTCAGCCACTCCAAGTCTCCCAAGATGACGTACGTCCAACCAAGAGGGCCTCGCTTTCCTACCGGACTTCCCCAACCTTGACTCGGTCCAACTCCCCAAGATATCAACCCTTTTACTTGGCCTGGATTTCGCGGACGTGGTGCGCTTAGGTCCAAGCAGCAATATGCGGAGTATCCTTTAGAAAAGGCAAGCCGCGTGTGCCGGCCACTTCCGCCGGTGAAGATGGTGGTTGCAGCAGAGCAAAGACAACCAGAGGGGATAATCTTCGATGGGAAGTCGGCTGAGCTCCGAAGCGCACACCTTCTGAGCCCCAAACCGCCATTAATGGCGGAACTCATCTGGCCCAAGGTTGAGCTGCAGTAGAAGCAGGGGAAAACCGTACTAATCGGCGAGGTGGATTTGTCCACTGCAATGACGTCGGCCAGGTGCTCCGACTTGATGAAAAAGCCTCGGCTAGGGTGATGAAGTTCGGGGCAGTCCGGAGTTCGCATTCCACCTTCGTCTCAGAGCATGGTTGCTCCTTCCAATTATTTCTGGATCTCGATCTGTCCAACATCTTTTTTTTTAGTTTTTGTTGAAATCGGTCCATTTCGTATCAATTTTGCGTAGAACACATGAATCTTTTTGGACAGATTCCCACAGACGGCGCCAGTGTTGAGGTTAATCCAACATGATATAGTATATATATATGTATATATATATGTATATATGTATATGTATGATTAAGCTCAGTTTTTACGTGGAAACCCGAAAGGGAGAAAACCACAGGACTTTTTAGGCTAATGTCCAAGCCCTCTCTTTCTCATTAAACTCTCCTCACCATTACATAGTACATTTTGAGCTCCCATTAATGGAGTCTTGTAAGCTATTCTAGGGAGAAGAAGAAGCATGGGGAAGAAGGAAAAAAGGATCCTAATATGGAGGGAAACTCCCATATTTATAGAGAAAGGGGATGGGGAAATAATCCACCCTAATGGGCCGCATGGGCCGGAATGGACCCAAATGGCTAAAGTGGGCCAGAATGGGCCGAAATGGACCTAGCTGCTCGGGCTACGTACTGAATAATGTCTTGGGGTCCTGAACAGTAATAGACCGGGATAATATATCGCAACAGTAAAAAATGTTAAAGAGGGTTTTCCCAAATGGGGAGGTAAAAAGCACACTAAATAGACCAGAACTTCAATATCTAGTGCACCATATTCCATTAACAAATGTCTTTGTCGCTATCACAAATGCACTACAAGTATTAAACATGTCATAATAGTGGATCCTTTTCGACGATGACTAATAGCGGATCCTAGCGGCAACCGTTGGCGAGTCTTGCTGGAGAAGAGGGGCATGTAGGCCTGGGACCGGTTGACTTCCCAGGTAAAATATGTGGAATCGTTTGAAAATGAGAAATATTACTAATGGTTCGGTTCTTATAAATTATTTTATAGAACCGGTAAGGAATCGAATAAGGAACCGGTTCGGTTCTTGACGATTCAGTTCTTGTCATTTAACGTTCCTAGCCTTTAAAAAAAATCTTATAAATCAAGGTTAAATTTGTGTCAAAAAGACATTCAACGCTTGAAATTACAATACAAATATGTTGAACATCATTTCAAACCTCAAAAGTTGAGTTTAAAACATAATTACATAACAAACTGCAAAATTTAGAAAACAAAACAAAACAAGATATTCGCTAAAGAAGCCCAATAAAACTATTTAAAATGAAAAATAACTACAAATAGTTAAATAAAACTAAAATAGTGAATGTAAGATGAAAATAGATAGTAAATATACATTAAAATATACTCCCTCCATCCCAATATAAAGAGCAAATTTGCGTTTTCACACAATTTTTAGGAGAAACGCTGTTTAGCACTGTTTAGACACTGCTTAGACATTGTTTGACACTGTTTTGCACTGTTTTGTTTGCCAAAAAGGGAAATGTGCCTTTTATATTGGGACGACCCAAAAAGGAAAGCATGCCTTTTATATTGGGACGGAGGGAGTTTATACTAATAAGAAATATATATATATATATATATATATATATAATTCTAATTATTATATATAACGGTTCCTTAACGGTTCTGGGTACATACTTTTTCAGGAACCGAGAATTGAACCGTTAATAAAAAATAGGTACCGAACCATTAACAAATATAGAGTAACTAATAAATTTTAGAACCGAACCGAACCGGGTCATAACGGTTCGGTCCGGTTTGGTTCTACGATTCTTGGTTCCAAAGTCCCAGCCACAGGGGCATGTACTAATTGGATAGAAGTTAGAATTAAAAGAAAAATATATTAACTAAATAAAGATTAATCAAATTTTAAAAATTGAAGGCAAATGCTGTGTTTTCATCTAAAAATATAGAAATCAACTTGTAGTAATATTTTTGCCATTTTTTCACCCATTAACTAAGCTCTAATACGTGCTATATTTTTGCCATGAGAGCTCTTCTCATCAGGCCGGCCTGACGGGCTGCCCCGTCCGGCCGAGCCCGTTTGGGCACCTTCCCGGTGGAATTTTTTTATGAAATTTTTTGAGCATGTTCCTAATCAAGTCTAGTTTGTCCATACCAAATTTCAGCTCAAAATTCGATCGGGAAGGTCGTCAAATGATTTTTGCAAGTTAACTGGTCCGGAAATCATTTGACGACCTTCCCGATCGAATTTTGAGCTGAAATTTGGTATGGACAAACTAGACTTAATGAGGAACATGCTCAAAAAATTTCATTAAAAAATTTCACCGGGAAGGTGCCCAAACGGGCTCGGCCGGACGGGGCAGCCCGTCAGGCCGGCCTGATGAGATGATTACTTTTTTTGCCATTTCTTCTAAATACATGCTAAATTAGTACGGAGTAATTAGAGGTGGAATCATCTTGTTATGGGGCCCAAAGTTTTGAGAAAGGAGAGAATGCATAGTGGTCTGTGGCAATCCCCCACCTCTATCCTTGGGTCTCTTCACGTGATTCCTGACTCCATAGTCTAGTCTCATACAGAGTATAGTACTGTACTAAACAACTCATGCCATTCTTGGAAGCTTTTGCCTCCTTTTCCTCGTCTCCTTCTCCCCCAAATGTTAAACCCTATTCCCTTGTGACTTGCCCTGCGGAAACCCCCCCAAAAACTGTAAATTTATAGCGCACTTGTTGATTCTTGTGCTCCTTGTTTTCTATTTCGACCGGAAATGGAAGGGTTGTTCATGGCAGTGCTTCTTCCACTCCTTTTTGGCATTCTTTCTTCTTCTTCTTCCTCTGCTCGTTCCCATTCCCCTGCATCCAGCTCGCTGATTCCTCCCGACGCTTCGGCATTGTTGGACTTCAAACTCAAAGCGGACTTGCACGGGAAGAAGCTTCAAGGCTTTTCTTCCAACGCCACCGTTTCTTTCTGCAAATGGAACGGCGTCCGGTGCAGCGGCGACCGGGTGGTCCGTTTGGTGTGCAAAGGAATGGGTTTGGACGGCTCTTTCGCTCCGGCAACTCTAACTCGTCTCAACCAGCTCAGAGCTTTGAGCCTTCAAGAAAATTTCCTCACCGGACCTATTCCGGACCTTTCCGGTCTGGTTAACCTCAAGCTCCTCTTCTTGGACCATAACCTGTTCAGCGGCCTGATACCGCCTTCGATTTCCGCTCTCCACCGCCTGAAAGCCATCGATCTATCCTACAACAACCTCACCGGAACCATACCCGCCTCCCTGGACGGCATTGGGCGGTTGTACTATCTCCGCCTCGATTCTAACCGCCTCACCGGCCCCGTTCCTCCGCTCAACCAGACTACCCTCCGTATCTTCAATGTCTCGCATAACGCTCTCTCCGGTCCTATTCCGGTGACGGCGGCACTGTCGCGCTTCAGAATGAGAGCATTTGCCTCCAACCGGGCACTGTGCGGTGAGATATTACACCGTGAATGCCACCCCATACTGCCCTTTTTCCGGCCATCTCCGACCGTAGTTACCCCACCTCCGCAACCGGCGAAGCCGTTAAATCAAAACACAAAACTGCACGACGGCGGACCATACAGCCCCGTGGGAAACAAACCCAAATCGAAAAGACCCGTTCTCATAATCGGGTTATCCTTAGGCTTCTTTATTCTAATTTGTTCCGTTATATGCTTCGCTATGGCTGCAAGAAAATCAAGCAAGCCTATAGAATCTGCTCCGAAACTTGCACTGGATCCAGGGGTGGTGACGAGAATGGAAGAAGAAAGCAGCGAGCTGGAAGATAAGGTGAGGAGGGTGCAAGAAGGAATGCAGGTAATGGGGAAAAGTGGAAACTTGGTATTCTCTGTGGGTGAGTCACAAATGTATACGCTGGAGCAGCTGCTGAGAGCCTCGGCCGAGCTTCTCGGCAGGGGAACGATGGGGACTACCTACAAGGCGGTGCTCGACAACCGTCTGATTGTTTGTGTGAAAAGACTGGATTCGGGGAGGATGTCCGGGACGTGTAGGGAGGAGTTTGAACGGCACATGGGATCAGTGGCCGGGTTGAGGCATCCGAATCTGGTTCCTCTCCGGGCTTATTTTCAGGCTCAGGATGAGCGGCTTGTAGTCTATGATTACCACCCCAATGGCAGCCTCTTTTCTCTCATCCATGGTACCTTCCCAAAACTACTCCTTTTCAATTTTCCTTGCTTTTATGATCTTCCATTTTGGCTGTGACTTTAATTGCAAAAGTTAACATTGCATAATACTTGTTTATTTCAATTTTTTTGAAGTCGTGTATATTGATTAGTAATGTGTGTGAATGTTGGTCAAAGTTTTCAACTCTGGAAGAAATTGTTAAGTTTACTTGAGAAGCCCATATAAGGGGCATGAATGGTAACCAATTTTGGTAATTGTCAAGGTTTAGGAGTTGACAGCACAGTCAATGAGGACCAAAAATAGAGACAGGCTATGCCTATCTGTGAATTATGGCTCTAAGTTGGGAAAGTGAGTCAGGGGTGATATAATATACTCCGTATTTAATACAAAGTACTCCAACAATTAACATTCTGATCCATGCTTATTTTTGTGGCTTATATGTTAATAAAGCTCATATAGTTTTAGGATATTAGTTGATTTTAAGAGATGTCTACCTGTTAAGCTAATAAGGAAAGAGGTTCAAAGGGATAAGGGAATAATTTAGTATAGGGCTATGTATAGACTATAGTTATGATCTGCTCTGTACAACTATAATTTCAATCTGAGAATTTAATTTTATAACGTGTTGATTAAAAAAAGATTTGTCCTATCCTAAAGTGGAGTTTTTGATTAAAAAAACTTATTAAATTGATCACCAGAATGAGTAGAAGCAGCCCCTCAGCCTTGTCCTAAACCGGAAGATAGCAATTTTCGATCGCGAAAGGGGAGGGGTGGAATTGTTTAAAACAAATGCCGTGTTTAGTTTGATGGAACAATGGAGATGAATTATTTCATAGAAAATAAAGAGTATAAGATGAATATTACTACAAATGTTTTATAGTGCCTTTTTTGTTGCAAAATTGAAAATACTTTGATAATGTAAAGTTGTAAACCTTCCGAAATTCTTCAACCAAACTTGCATAAAATAATACTCTTCACTTTCCCCTCTTCCCTCCAAAATCTTCCTTTGAGCTTGAGGTTAAGAGCTTCGACAATGGCAAAGGCACAAGGACTGCTTGCAAAAAGTGTACAATCGTAACCCTAGTTCTTTTGGACCTTCCCTACCCTCAAGAAGAGGAGCCCATGGTGGGTCCACCGTTATAGAGAGAATGAATAAAGACCTGGCCTTCTTTTGTTAATCATTTAAAGTGCCTTCAAGCGGAGGGCCCTCCCTGTTTTATGTGAATCATTAATTTGTGTTGGTCATATACTGACCCTACCCCCTTACCAAAGTGCCCACTTCAGTTTAATTTACATCCAGCCTGGACATCTCTTAAATCCTAGTACTTGTTTTCTTCCATTGATGCTTTCTGATCTGGTTTTATATATGTACATGCTACTTGTCTTGTCTTTGTTTTGGGTTGTGTTAAAATAGGCACTAAGATATTAAGATAGTAGTTGATTATCTGGGAATTGAACTTCAATGTATCGTTCTCGATAATTCTACATTTCTCGACAAAGTTTTTTGAGTATTCTAAAATGCTTCCAGCTAAAGGACCCGACATTATCTGATCTAGTTTAGCTTATGGAAATTTTGTGTAATGGATAAATCATCTCAAATGTTGTTTGGTTTTCAGGGTCAAAGTCATCTAGAGCAAAGCCACTACATTGGACTTCATGCTTGAAAATAGCAGAGGATGTAGCTCAAGGACTCTCCTACATCCATCAAGCCTGGAGGCTAGTTCATGGCAACCTTAAGTCCTCTAACGTCCTCTTAGGA